TTCTGTAAAAACAAACCTAAAAGACATTCTTTATGTCACTGTTTTATTTTAAAACACAGGCAGGCTGAGTGTGTTGGCTTAAATTTTTCCTGGCGTAAGTAGGTGAATCCATCAGTGATTTTACCAGAACTTTTATCTCTTTCCAGAAAGGATTAATTTGCTCTGGATGTACTGACAATGTAAATGAATTATGTCATGCTTCTCATATCCTGCAAATCACTATGCTGGTTCTTTTTCCCTTATCTTCTCTATCCTGTTGTTTATCTTGCTCTAATGGCATGACACCTGCTTGGTATACAAAAGATTTATGGCTGTATTTTGATTAAGTTGATTTAACAACAGCGAAAATAGTGCCTTCCTTGTAGGAAGGCCCTAACAATGACTTTAAATGCTACTGTTTGCCTCAAAGATCCCTCTGGGCTTGGAGCATCTTGCAGTGCCATTTCACACACTGGTTGGTTGGTGAAATAGCTGGGAGGCCAGGAAATGATCTGCTGGGTTACTGTAAGCAAATGCATTATTTATAGAAATTAATGGACATGCCAGCATTCAATCCTTTTTCTGTTCTTTAAATCCCACTCCAGTGCAGGGTAATGTATGAATATATGAACGTCTAAACTTATAAAGTGCTGTGCTCCTCGTGAGCTTTCTGAGTGGTGCCTTTTTTTTCTCCTAAAGCAGTGATGTTACCTTCAATAAGGCACTGCGTGGGCTGGAGGCAGCTCCAGGACCCCACCACAGCCTGGCACCTGGAGGGGTTCTTCTCAGCATGCCTTGCTTCTCTCTTCTTATTTGTGGGACACAAACTTGGTTTTGTACATGGGGGGGCATCAGAATGCCCCTGCACCTTGGCCCTTTAGGGCATGCAATGCTTTTCAGAGCTCGTGGGGGCTTTGGTGCAGCTGCTATGACCCAGTGCAGACCCAGTGGGCAGCACTGGGCTATGAGTCGACCTAATGTTCCTCTGCAGTAAATTCACCATCAGCAGTGGCAAAAAGCTTGAATGCAAAGGACAGTATTTTAAAAAAGGCAAATCAATCACATGCCAACCAGCGTGTTGCATACAGTTTCTTGTAGACTGCAGAAGACTGTCCAGCTTGCCCCACATCAGCTTCACCATTGGGCATCACGAATACAAGCTGACAGCAGAGCAATACGTCGTGAAGGTGCGTGTCCTCCTGGCTCTCTGCTCCTGGTCAGGGCCAGAAGAGCCACTGCAAGGAGATGTTCTTTCTCTTCCAGGAGTCCATCGATGACCAAACCTTCTGCATGAGCGGCTTCCAGGCTCTTGACATCCCAACTCGCAGTGGTTCGCTCTGGATTTTAGGAGATGTCTTTATGTCTGCCTTTTACTGCATTTTTGACCGTGGGAATGATAGAGTGGGATTTGCAAAATCTGCTCATAGGGACGATTATTAGTGAGTTGTAGTAGCATTCGTTCTGCATCAGCATGGATGCTGATATAATGATTTTGAGCAGACCTGTGAAAAAGAACTAAAGGTGAAACTGAACCAGAATGCAGATCTCCTCCTCAAGTTTTAAGTGCTTGGGGCAATCCTTGTCCCAAATTACACGGTTTGGTTCAATATCTATATACTTAAAACTGAGATACATGCTCTTCCTGAATAACTGGTGAACACCACAGATCTCAATTAAAAGAGCTCATCTCCGCATGTCGTGCAGCTCTGCAAGAGGGCAGGAAGGATGAAAATGCTGAACAGCGTAGGACTGAGAGTATAGCAGTAAGAAATGAGTGAAGCTAATCCCGGGCTGGCTTGTTTGTACCATTTTTTATTCCTGTGTGCCATTTTCATCTAATTTCCCCACTGACTTCATTTTTCTCATTATGTTCTTGTTTTGGCGATTTTATCTCCTTCCTGCCATGCACATTCTGTTGGGTTTGCTCCAACCAACTCATACAGAAAGGAATGATCCCTGAGTGACCACCACGCTTTCTGACACACTTCCTTGCAGACAGCTTACAGCTCTCTCAAATGTGCTCTTCTTCTAGGTTTGTTCTCTTGACTTTTTTACTTCTCCTTCTCTGGGTCTTAGTGTTCAGTGTCACTTGATTCTGATCTTCTGGGTTCAGGGTATCTATTTGCATTGCAAAAACCACACTGCAGTCCACACAAGTGGAGTTGCTGAACTTTCTACAGTTGATTGAGCCAAAAAAGATTTACCTAAATGATACCTACTGGAATATTTGTTTTGATTGTTAAAACCACTGCTGCCTCTGTACATGTGAATAAAACTTAACCAAATGAATCTGCTTTGGACTCAATGCTTTGGTTTTTGTTTCCTTGCAGTGACTCCTGCCATGCCAGGGCCACCTGCTCTGAGGGGGTGGAGAGGGTCAGCAGCGATTAAATATACAGCTTGCTTGGCAGTCTGGGGGGGGGGAGAGATAGGACATGCTTGTGCTGCTCTTCTCTCCCCAGACCTGAAATACTTGTATGTGGAAAGCCTCCAGCGAGGCTGGTGAGAAAGGCCATGACTTGAAGGCCTGTATGTGAAGGATCAAATTCTCTCCATCAGGCCCAAATAGTGTCTTATCTGCCACCTACCCTCACAGCTGGGCCTGATGTGAAGTGGGGCCAGGAGGGAGGTTACAGTGGTGGTACATATGGATAGTATTCATCTTTGGTGGTGTTGAGCAGCCTCAGCACCAGACATTGGGTACAGACTTGGTAACATGGACTGGGACCAGCTGAGTGGAGTCCATGGCCTGGGCACAGCTGTAGGATAACTAGGAACCTGTGCAGTTTTGGTGTCCCTGGAATAGAGACCAACAGCCATGGGGAGGTGTCTGGATGAGCTCTGCACACAGGCAGCACAGTGTCTGTTGGGATCTCGGCAGGATTATCGTCACAGGTCTGAGATTTAAGGCTTCAGCTCTAAGACCCGATAAGTATTAACAGAGTGGGGTGGTTTGTGTGTAGGTATCTCAGAGGCGTTGATTTTGCCTTCAGATATGAAATATTTTCTCTCTCTGGTGTGTGTTTTTACAACTCTATATTTGCAATTACATTATATTGGACTTTTGATACCACAGCTATCAGCTTACAGCAATAGCAACTCATTTGCCATTTGTTTCTTTTTGTGGGAATGTTTAAAATGTATGAAGTTAGCATTATCTCGTGCCTCACTTGCCTTATCTCCTCCTTGTGCATATCATTCTTAGAGAAGAATGACCATAAGAAAACTTCTTTATTTGGAAAACTTTTTTTTTTTTTTTTTTTTTTTGGTCATAAACCAAGACAAAAAAAAGCATCTACAAAGAGGTTTCAATTGTTTAGCAGCAGCCAGTATTCTTGTTTTCCCTGTTGTGCAGTTGACTTACAATTCTGGTGCATTTCCATTATTTCTGAAATATCTATTTTTTCATTGAATGGGAAATTGCAGGAAAAATTAGAGATCTGCTATGTATGACTGAGGATTTTAAAGGCAGTGGGATTTGTCTCTACAGCATGCTGACAGCTTGGCTCTGTGAATCCTGGCATGGAGAATAAACACATCTTAGAAATATGTGGAAAATCATAATGAGCATTCAGGGAGTGTCCCTCACTTTATTCTGATGCATCTCATCCTATTTGACATCACCTGATAGGGTCAGGGTATATAAATAGGTCAGAAAACCACGTTGCTCCCATCACTTCCTCAGTCTTTTCAAGCTTTGCCCGTTTCTGTAGGTTTGCCTCTCTGTTCCAGGTAGACATCGAGTTAACTTGCATGGTAGTTCACATCTCTGCCAAAAGTGTTTCTTGACAGTTCAATACAGTCAAGACATCTGTGTTTCTCAAAATGCCTTTATTCATGCAATAATTCTACATTCTTTATGCCAGTGAACATGAATTGTGAATTGTTGAGGTTGCTGAAATTGTCCGTTTACTTTGCTAAGGCAAATAGTTTACCAGAAGTAGTGCTAAAGGGAGCACATCATCCCAAAAGAAAATTTAGTATAAGTCAGAGCCTGAGGATGTTTGCAACAGTGAGATAGACTAAATGCACAGAAATTTTTCTAATAATTCATCCCAGCACGAGTTTCTTTGTGAGCTAATGAATGGAATATTTTAACTAACCTGGAGCTGCCCTCCTACGTGTGGTATACTGTCTGTTTATTGCATAATAGACTGTGGGACTTCAGAATTGTCATCCCTAACCTAACATCTTTCAGTATCTAACAGATGCCTCTGTGGGACCTAACTGAAGCTTAACCACCCAGTGGCTACTGTATGGCCCTTGGCCTCCACTGGAGGAGTACTGTCACTGGGGCAGGGAGAGCAGGCAGAGTGAATGGAATTGGCAGCAAAGTCATTGCTCATGAGATGCACAAAAGTCTGGTGGATAGCATCACTGTGCGCTCTTAGCAGTGGCCATGCTGAGAAGAAAATGATGGAAGATGAGCAGAGCTGGACAATGAGAATCTGGGAAGGCTTTTGCAGGCTGAGCTATGCTGAGACAGATCAGCTTACGTCCGAGCTGGGGGGATGAAGGCAGAATCAAAAAATTGTTTGACTGGAAGGGACCCTTAAGTGTCACCTAGTCCAACCCCCCTGCAATGAACAGTGACACCTACAGCTACATCAGGTTGCTCAGAGCCCCTTCCAGCCTTATCTTGAATGTCTCCAAGGACAGAGCATCCACCATCTTTCTAGACAACCTGGTCCAGTGCCTCACCACTCTTACTGTAAAAAAATTCCTTATACCCAATTGAAATCTCCCCTCTGTTAGTTCAAAACTATTTGCCCTTGTCCTATCACAACAGACTCTGCTAAGGAGTCTGTCCCCTTCCTTCTTATACCTCCCTTTAGATACCTTAAGGCCTCTCTCAGATCTTCCAGAGCTTTTTCTTCTGCAGGCTGAACAGCCCCAGCTCTCACAGCCTGTCCTTGTAGGAGAGGTGTTTGTTTCATCCCCTGGATCGTTTTTGTGGCCCTCCTCTGGGCACGCTCTAACAGGTCTGCATCTCTCCTGTACTGAGGACTCCACATCTGGACACAGTACTCCAGATGAGCAGTACTCAGGGCAGTGCAGGGCAGAGAGGCAGGATCACCTCCCTTGACCTGCTGGCCAGGCTGCTTCCACTCCCTTGTGAAAGTTGTATGAAGGAAGATACGGAGGAGGTGTAGTGGGACTGGACTCTAAGTGTGGATCTGTGGGAGTTTTATATTAAATGGCTTAAATCTCCTTTCAGAGGGAAGAACATTCCTGGTCTGTGATAACAGAACTAGACAGTATACCAGATTTACTCCACAACTGCTGAAAATCCTTCCTATATCTGGCTGGCAGCTGCAGCTCCCCATGAGTGGAGGCCTCAGATCAGTTACCTCTGCTGCTCCCCTTCTTGAGAGAGGGCTATGGCTCCTAGATAAGCTATGTACGTGCTCTAAGGAGCACAGACCAAGACTTATACCTCCCATGCCTAGTTCATTAGAAATTTTGCCTCTTCCATTTTTCTCAATGGAGTTTTAATATGAAGTATTTCATTTTTATTTTTCAATCTGTTGTGGCATAGCTTCAGCAGGACCATAGCAGGCTCTTGCCTCCACAAGCCACAATAAGGTGCCTGATTTGTTTAAGCATACCTCTAAGTATTGGAATTTAGTGGGCTGAAGAGGGAACTGAGCCCAAACCTCCCCTAGCTCCTTGACTAGAAACCAGAAGTGTTGGTTGTCTTACAAGGATGTTATGGATTTAATTCTGAAGGAGCATCCATCAGATCACATGGCAATATTCAAGGTGCACATAAAGTGGGAAAAGCCACCTCTGCTCTTCTTAACTTTAGTGTTTCCTCTAGGCAAGCCCACACATCTCACTACTATGTGCGCTGGCTGGTTTGAATCCATTTTTGAGACACTCAGTCCTCTCTGCAAGTGTTTTCCTCACAGGGTCACAAATTTGAAACCAGTGACCAAGTGGCTTGAAGTATTGCAGTGCCTTGTGTTTACGTGCCTGAATCCTCTGTTGGATCTTGCTCAGGACTTGTCTGAGCATCATGTCTGCCTTTATGGACCTTCCAACAAACATCTGTGAGAACCACTTTCAAGAAAATACAGGAAGATCAGCCAGAACCAGAAGCACTGTTAAGGATTTCTTTTACTTTTTTCATTAGAAAATTCTACTATGGCTGTTTCTTTGGTATCCAGGTTATCCAATAGGTGATGCATTTCAAATGTCTCTGGAGCAGTAGCAGAAGTAATGCTTTTTCCATCACTTACCACAGTCCTTGGTTGTGAAAATGTTGCAGCATCTGTTACAGGATGTGCAGAGTCAGCACTGGGCATTGTACTGGGACTATGGAAGCTTGGTAAGCTCCATCGCTGAAGGTTTCTCTCGTGATCTGTTCTGAGACCAGCTATGTTACTACTGTGGGTTTCTTGTTTGGGCTCCCTTATGCTAGGCAGTGACTGATGCATCTCAGTACCTGGGAAGTGTGCAGTCACTTCTGAGGGGAATAAAGAAAGGTCCATAAGAGACACATCTGCCTCGGTTAGGCTCCTTTGGGGCTTCTCTTCCTGTGTGACTTCAGTGCTCTCTGCTTGCAGAGCTGACTTGCCCAGCACATCAGGTGCTTTTTCCTCAGTTTCAGAGATGATGACCTCAGGAACTGGCTTGTTCGTCTCAGATGAGGTGTCACTGTCATTAAGCAGTGCCTCATTCCTGGAGGTTTCGCTTATAGGTCCTAGATCCCTGCTACTGTGAAGTCTGCTACTTCGGTCAGCTCCTTCGTGTTTCCTCTTGAAGCTGGAGGTAGAATGTTTCCCCCTAGTGTGCATTTCCTGCAGCCGCCTGATGTGTCCCTTCTCATCTGCGGGGAAGAACACCGAATTCTCACTTGTCTGCCGGTTGTAGCGCCTGTGAGTGGGGGAGGAAGGGCCCTCGTGGACGCTGAGAAATCTCTTAACTCTCCTCAGCACTGAATGTTGTCTGTGGTGTTTCTCTTCTTCCCAGGGCCACTCTTCCCCATAGAGGAATTCGGTATCAGCCAGCCTGCCAAATAAAGTAGGTAAGTAGGTGTTACACGTAGGAAGCGTGCAGTCTGCAAGCACATATATCCTGCTATCTTGTCAGGAAGACAGAAATGTTAGGAATCAAAAGCCCCTACGTGTCCCTCAGAAGGGCATGGAAGGGATGAACAAAGGGTGAGAGTGCCAGGAAATAGCACCTTTTCCTTTGGACCAGCTGGGTCACCCAGGAATCTCTCCATCTCCAGATGTCTCTTCTGAGGACAACAGTGGGATGGCACAACTGGGCATGTGCTCCATTTCATACTGGGGTCAGGAGCCAGGTAGCCAGACTGCTATACTGGATATTTGGCTCCAGCTCTTTGGGCATCTGCACGCAGCTGGCTTGAGCTTAGGGTAAGGGTAGGGGGAAAGCCTGCTCAGTGCTGTACATCTAGAGAGTCCTTCAGGCAAAAAAACAATAATAATGAAAAAGCTACTCCTGGAAGCAGAGCGAAATGGTTTATAAAGAAATAAATAAATAATGTTAGACTCAGGTGGTCAAACCTCATTTAATTCCAAGGCATGACAGGGTGTCTGAAAATCTCACCTGTAGCTGGTGCTCTTCCCCTTCCCAGCCTTGTGGTTAATGAGAACAGCTATTGTTTTGCCTGCCATACCATGCACTACACACTATTATCTGGGTGCATCTCAGAAGACAAGTCAAATAAGGCCATTCAATTTTCCTAAGGGCAAGGACTACAAAAGGACATGGGCCAAACCCAAGGCAAGGAGAGCAGGGAGGCAACACTGATACAAAAGGACAGAGGGAATCTCACTATGCATTTATGAGGTTGTTGGCTTCCTATTAAAAATTGTTCTCAGACTTAATAATATTTATTCTTTTTTTTTTTCCCCTGGTAATTAGAGTAAAATAAATTACAGTCTATGGATTTATCTTTTCTCATGAGTAATGTATAGGTTTTTTTATTCCAGAATGAAAGAATTTCTGAAAAGGTGGCGTATGAGAAAAGGAACCAATACAAAGCACTGTTCCTTGTAGTAGAAGGCAAGCAGAGCTGGAGAAATAGGAGAAATAAAAATGAGAAAACATCAGTTTGGTTTTCCAAGGCCAAATGAATTTTTAAAAAAAGACACATATTTTGTTTTGGTAAGGCTGGATTTTTTTTTTTTTCTGAAAAATTGAAAACTTGTTAAGATAAATTATGAAGTTACAAAAAAGACTTCTATACTGCCTTTAAAAACATACTCAGATAAAAATGTTGACTTGCCCTGGCATTTGCTTAGGCAGGATGATATTTACACACACTGACTTGTTTTATGCTAGAGTATGTCACAAGTGCTTAAACTCAACACCTTCTAAACTGATGGGCCCATCACTGCAGTCTAATATAGATTGCAACAACTCTGGGTGATCCCGTAGACTCTCAGTATTTCTGGGTGGTCATCGTGTATAACTCCTCTTCTTTACCATTTCACAAATCCTGACCACTCCAGCTTCCTTGCCTGGTTTATTATTCAATTAAAGGCCGTACCACATTTCAGATCACTTCCTGTTTATCTTCTCAAAAATCTGGACTAATTTCAGCCATCATCTGCTACTCAAACAAACAAAGGAATAGCTATTTGCTGTGTATGGAGAAGCCATAATAAGTGGAAAATTATTAAGAAGTCTGTCACTGTCTTCAGGTGCTGTCTTGTACTCAGAGAACATCTGTGAGCACTCCCCCAGGGCATTCTCTAGTTATTAATTAGACAATATGTGCTATCGATGCGCAATCTGTATGGGCACAGGGATTGCTGAAGACATTCTCCCATCAACACCAGGCTGCCCACCCCCTCCCAGCAACACCCTTTCCAATCTTGACATTTCCCACTCACAATATGATCCTATCCCTGGGCCCCATGCCTCTTTATCACGTTCCCCCAATGGAAACTGTCTAAACTGTGTGTTACAAAATGCAGTTCTTGAGGCAGCTGTCTGGATGAGTGCTAATGAGCAGGACTGGCCACTGGAGACCAGTGAAGGTCCTGCAGCAGTCACTGGTACCAGCCCACATCCTTCAGCTGCGGAGGTGGGGGCTGCAGCTGTGGCAATCTTGGTGGTGGCGATAGGGACTGTTGTGCCACTCACCCCATTTCAATTGTTGATCCAAGGAATGAAGGAATGCAGTAATCAGCAGCTGCTTTTGTGTAGGGCGGCCGGGCGGAAGAATCATTCCAGTAAATGTCTCTCTCCATTCTTGGTAAGTTCATGTGCATCTCATCCACCGCCAGAAGTGAGACCTTAGATTTTTTACATAAATCATGTCACATTCAATATATTACAGCATACAAAATAACCTGCTTTGTACTCCTCAGCTCGAGGTTTTTTTAGAGACCCTTTAAATTAAACTATGTGCTCTGGGCATTGTAAAGAGACTCAATATTACTAAAATCCAATCTCGATACCTTCCTACGCTTGCAAAAGTCTGAATTTTATTGCAACTTGAATCTTGTGCTACGAAGATGTTTCTTTGGGTCTGAAGTCCTTTCTTCACCAATGGTGTGGTTAAACGGACTTGTGATCCCAGTGTGCAGTAGGTAGTCTGTGTAATGCGTTATGTTCCTCTGAATGTTCCACTGGCTGAGAAGATTTCTGAGAGATTTCTTTCACATTTTAACCCCTTCAGAATCAAATGTGGCCATCCCGGTTTAGGGCCTTGCAAGAGGTCTCATCAAAAGGGCTCTGCAGCACCCTTGCAGCAGCAACCTGAGGTAGCATTAAGCCAGAGACCACACTTCGGCCCCTCGTGAAGACACTGCCACAGGCCCCACTTATTGCCTCAGGGCTCTGCTTTGGGATCTTCTCTGAGATATTATAAAAGGAAGATTAATATACAATATTGCAATTGTTAGACATTCAGATTAGCAAAGCTTGTTTTCATCTAAATGGGAGTAGATGGCTTTTGGATTTGGCAGGATTGACCCACATTACTTGCTTTTCCTGGCATAAGGTGAGCTTAGAGTTGGAGGTCAGCTGTTTGCATGTTAGTCAGGAAAAAAGCAATGCCAAATACCCAAACCAGGATGCATTAGCTTATGAAAATACAATCTGGGGACCATAGCTACAGGCACTCCTTCAGGGAAAGAGTTTGTTTTAATGACACTCATTGCCCTTAATTTGTACCTCGATGTAAGAAAGGGGATTAAATGTAATGACAATCTATGATACCGCAAAGCTGGAAGTAGAAATAACAACAGCAACCTGTAAATTTCTATCGATGCACCAATTAGTTTCAAAATCATCATCATCTTCTCCAAATGGATTAATAAGTTGTTCCGCGACCTGGGAGGGAAATGAGACAGTGAATAGAGGTTAACATGCAGTGTCAGGACTGCTGCCTCAGAGCAAATCTGATTTGATTTGCCTCTCTCTCCCTGCCTGTCACTAGCAATCATAACATGAGCTTCAGTGTGATGTTTGTGCCAGTCGAGCAGAGGAACATCTTGCTTTCCCTATGCATGCAGACCATGGTGCCTCGTTGGTGCTGTCAGTCATGATTGTTGGCCCTGGTTTACAGGAACTGAGAAATGTCCGGGCTGCTGTGATTGTCACATGAGATAATCATTACCTTCCCTCACTGCTTCTCAGGCTGACTTACATAAGTGATTTAGCAATGGAAGGCTCTTTCGTTGCATTATGGTCTATGATACTCCACTGGCCCACTCAGTATTTCTAGGCAACATAGCTGAGGCCTTCTGGAAGGAACACAGCCCATCCCCTGAGTCCTGGACACCAGCCCCTGGCTGCTGCCGACTGACCTGAGGTCATGCTAACTGTATCCCCCTCAAGGTTTGAGAAAAGCAGCCTACCAAAAGCCTTGGCTCCAGTGAAAGTCATTTGTCACGGTAGCCAAAGCCAAGAGACAGTCTGAGTTTGTTCTTTAATTCAACCTGGAGGTTTCTGTTTCTGTAAATGAAGTGATTAAAGCTGCAAGGATAAAGATCATTTTGTGGAGGACGTGACTGCTCAGGGAGCTCAGGCAGGTCCATGGTGAGGTGCCTCAGGGGAAGGAAACTTCTTGGGCTGCCCTTGCCTCACCTACTCCCCACCTGCTAAAGCCTAAAGAAGTGGAAAAATAATCAGAGGCTGCTCCAGGCCTCATGATCACCAAAAAACATTGTGGGGATGAAATCACTGCTGCTGAGGGAGAAGAGAAATCTGAAATAAGAAAACTGGAAAAAAAAACAGCTGTAGGAAATTCAGACTACTTATTTCTCAGTTTCTCGGTGAACTAATGTTAAATATCCTCCCCTCCTTCACATTTTTCCCCTTCTTCTTGTTTTTTTAAGCTAGTGATGCCATTGCTGATCCTGGAGGAAGCCAGGGCCATGCAGGGCAAGTGGAGAGATCCCACATTCAACATGGTGTAGGGCAAAATGATCGCTATGGGCTGCTATGATCTAAATAACTCATAATAGTAAGGCCGTCACTCCGTGGCTATTTATTCGCATGTGCCTCATGTTTAAGGACTGCTCAACTGCACTGTTACCTAACTGCTTGCTGACTCTCCTTGGCTTGTTGGTGGAAGATGACGAATGAACTGCTGAGAAGACAAACTATAAGAACACAAAAGGAGGCAGGAGGAGTGAGAAGCAGAAGGGGAACACCTCTGCTCACATTTGGTTGTGTGCCCTGGGGCATTACATTTCGGGTACAGCTATGTGGCTGCTGGTATCAGATGATGGCAGAATGCAAATGGTGTTTTGGGTCTCCAGGGAAGGCACCAGATCAGCTCAGTGTTAACCTAGGAATTACTGCCCAAAAATCCACTGCAAAACCTCTCCCACGAGCTAAAAAAAACAGTGAGCAGGGTTAGGACAGAGGACATTTCCTGGCCACTAGCTTATATTGTCTGGAAAAGAATGCAATGCTAGACAGCTAAGCCCTGTATTTGGATGGTCTATTGCAGCAATGAAATAGGGATTTAGCAGAGTCTCACGTGTTGGGAAACTTTGCCCCTGTATTGCAGGTATAACAAATCAGGCCTGAGGCCAAGGAATGAGCTCAGTTTTGCCATCATCTCTGAGGAATTGCCAAGTTACTGGAAGTCAATAGTGCTGGCCCTGTATGCACACTGGCAGCCAAAACCCAACACACTCAGCAGGAAACAGCTTTAACCTTCAGAACAGAAAGACATGTACTCTGTGGCAGTCTGAGGGAACACTGCTGATTTTAAGTCTGGCTTTTAAAAGCTGCTTTTCCTCCTCTTCATTTTCTTATGCAAAAGATTTCTCAGTTATAATGATATTCCATATCTATTGCCTAGAGTTGGCTGGAAGCCTGTAACTGGAAAAGATGGATGTTGATGGAGAGGAAAGCATCCCCCCAATGGCTTCCTGACACATTGGGCAGGGTAGTCAGGAGGAGAAGTTTCCAGTTTTGTAACCCACCGGGACAACCTTGAAAGGCAGTGCCTAGAGACAAAGCCTCATATCTATAATTTCAAAGAAAATTGGTGCTGAAACTAAAAAAGATAGGAATTTAGGGCCTGCAGGTATCTCACTTGCTATTAAACATAAAACATCATTAAGCAGGTGGCAAAACCAAATGGAAATCAAAGGGATATTTTATGAAGGGAAGAACCAATCCTAACTCTTTCTCATGCGCAAAGTTTTCCACATCCATGGATACTGCGTTCCTCCTGTAGCAGGATCCTCTCCCTTCTCCTTTCCCCAGGCTGGCCCCTATACTGCAGCCTCCTTCCCCCCCAACAATTTCCTGCCATACAGGAGGGTATGGTAGAGGGTACGGTAGAGGAGCTTACCCTGCAAGCCTCTGAAGAGTGGGCAGCTTTGCAATCCCTCCCAAAACCCTTGCAGTCCAACAGCTTGGTATGCTGTTTTTTTACTGTACCATTTTGAGATGGCTGTGGGAAAAAAAACTCTAAAAATGGGGGCATTAAAGGAAAGAGGGCCAATTTTGTACCATTTATATCCTAAAAAAAGTGAACTCAAAATTTCCAGCTATGATTAATAATCCCAAGAGAAAACCTTTAAGTACGTGGGCCCTAATGTACAAACTTGCTTTTTACTTAAAACTTTTCTCAGTCTATCTTGATCCTCACTGCAAAAAAGAAAGCCAATGTGAGGTGTGTGACTTAATTACTCATCTATCAGATCAATAGCAATATATTAACTAACCAGGCATCAATGGGCTGAGGGGTAGCATCCAAGTCCTTCCATAATTTTTCTTTTTAATGAATGCTTTTATGCAGTGAAACTGTAGGCAATAATAGCTATCCCTGTTTGAGAGCCTTATGAAACAGGAGACCTTAAATTGGCTGCATCATATTAGTTAGCAGCAGACACTAAAGGCAGGCTGTGATCATAAGACAAAATTGTGATTTAGTTCCTTTCAGACCATGCCAGGTCTGTAAAAGTATGTGCCCACTATATAGCCAAGTGGGAAGAATATTTTTAAAATTTTTCATCTGTTACTTTATAGTCCGCATCCAGGGACCAGATTTTGCTAGAGTAATGCTTTCTTAAGGAGTTGTTGCTGTGCTGCTCCAAATGAAATTGTATGTTTCAGGTTCCTGAAAACTCCTTATGGTAAGATCTTTTTGAGTGGAAGTAACGACGTACTAGATAATTTTTCTTTATAACTACAGGAGATGTTGGGCTGAATTTAGCTTTGGTGTAACTCCCTGAAACCTTGGTGATTTTAGTGTGCCACAAATCTGATATCTTCAGCAGCTCATGTGGGGAAGGTTCCCTCATTGCCTTCCCAGCAAGCCAGCTTACCTTGAGCCATCCTGCATAGAAGAAGAACTGTAACAGCGTGAAGATTGGAACATAAAGATCTAAGTCGTGTCCCTGATACCCTTGGTCAGTATCCAGAAACTGGCGGCCTATCAGGCAGGCAAAGAAAAAGGTATATACTGCAAGAGTAACGACCTGCAAAGAGAAAAACGTAATTGGAAATGTAATAATACAGTCTTATGCATAAGGCATCACAAATCCAAAGGCCTCTGACTGCCTTTTGTATATTATTTACAAAATATTATTTACAAAACTGGAACAAAATGTTTCAAATAAAGAGGACGCAAGAGTAACCACTGCCAGGAGGTAGACCCAGGAAACAAAAATATCTTGGAGCTTTCTTACTCTTCCAAATTATGCAAGGATTTCAAAACATCTCCACGTTAAACATTAATTTTAACATTAAATATTTAGCCAGATGCTGATACTCAACAAGACCCAGACATCTTGGAGATGTCAGTCCAGACTATGGATGTTTGGCACAAATGTCCCCTTTTACGGAAAACATATTTCAAAGAAAACGTGTAAAAGAAACAATTCAGTACCTGTGTATAGACCAGAGGAATTCCAACCCAGTCATAGCCAAACAAAAGGCTACACCAAGATCTGAACTTATTCATTTCCTGAATGAAAAAAAAAAAAGAGAAAAAAAAGAAGAAACATATCCCAACAAACTGAAATGGCGTTAATCCTGAATGACAAACATTTAGTTATAGTCTATTTTTATACATGTAAAAGGACAAGGAGACAAGATGGTGTCATATAAATTCATAGAATAATAACACTCAGCAGCTCATTGTAATGTTTGAATATTCACTTAATTTATGGAGTTGGAATGCTTAATATAATATCTATTTCTTCACAAATGATCTTTTATTTCTATCTTATATACAGCTTAGTGATATATGAGAGAATGCATTTTATTATAAAACTAATGTTGGGCCACTTAATAAAATATTTAGGGAGACTGTTTTCCCTGAAATTGACACTAAAATCTTCAAAATACCAAATAACAATCAGATTTTTTTTTTTTTTCTACAGTAATGGGCCAAGTATAAATTTACAGTGAGGCTTTTACTCACCAAACTGTTGTCTCAAGTAATTCTTTCTTAGTCATATAAATACAACCCCTGTGATCTTCTGCTGTGTGTGTCTGAGTGTACACTGGCACACCAGAAAAGTGTTATAGATTTTCTCTAAGATCTTTTAGATGACACTGGAGAGCTGAGTGCTCTAAATCAAGTTATGTAGGTGAAAAGCTACTGCATAGCAATTTGACACTGGTTTGCTGGAGGTTTACTTTTTCAACTTACATTCATTAGTGTCTGTAGATCCACACTGTCTCGAATTCTTCCCTCATTTCGTGCCTTCGATGCCAAATTTCCAAACCAGACAAAGGGAACCCAATATTTCAGATGAGGAGACTTAAGGTCATCAAATATTTTTCTTTCATGTCTTGTCATAAAACCTGTTTATAAAACAACAACAAAAAGGAGATGATTTATTCTGTGTTGACAGTGCAGCTTTTGTTATATATAATTACGTTTATTTGATATTTGCATAGAACCATGCAAAACACCAATTATGATTCTAACCAGTAGCCTCTTTTTTTATTTATTTTCTCAGGATGGATCTTGTTTGAAGCAATTGGTTTTGTCCTAACTACCTGAAAAGCAATCCCCATCAATCAAGATACGTGACAATTTGCTATGCTTCAGCTCTCCTTTGTGACTGCTGATACGTATAGCACTAAGCCTTGTACAGATTCACTAAATTACTCTCTAGTTTCATATTCTACTTTTAGAAAAATAAGAAACTGGATAACATCAGTCAATAAAGTATCACTTTTCAGCAATAATGGCTTTTAGCAGGATGTCATCATCTGTTCCCAGGGCAGTCAGATGACCTGGTTCTAATAATTTTTTGGTAAATCTGCAAGGTAGTGAGCAAGAAATGGAGCATACAAGCACATGTATGAAACAGAGCTCAGCTGAGAGCATGCCTTCTGCCAACGAAATGCTTCTCTGCCAGATTTTGTATTTTCTTTGGGGCTATGCAGGGGCACGAGGGGAAGGAAATGGAGCCACACAGAGAAGTGCCACTGCTAGCAGTGCACTGGGCCAGGCCCCGCTGTGGGCCTGCAGATTGAAGCTGTGTTCTGCCTGGCAGCCTGCCTGGCCTGGCGCTGGGAGGGCACCGTGCTTCCCACTGAGGCAGCCTGGCCTTGTGAAGCCCCGCTTCCCTCTGTTGTAAGGAACTCCAAGGGCAGCCAGGGCTGTGTTTGACAAAATCTCCACTGCCTGGGATTGGCACGGGAGCAGCCTGCTTTTTGGAGCAACGCCTCAACCCCTTGAGCTTTGTGAACTGAAAAGCTTTGCTCTGCTCTGCTCTCCTCCTTCCATCCACACCTCTAAGAAAAACAACCTCGGAAATTTCATGAAGGGAATTTTACATTTTCTTTTGCCTAAATCTCAGATTTTCTGGGATTGGAGCAATCTTTAAGTCCGAGAAACCTAAGCTTTTGCTCAGATGGATGCAAGATTTCTTTTGTTGTGTTGATTTTAGCTCTGAAACAGTACAAAGTTACTAACAAAGTAGCTGCAAAATAAAGGACTCGTCCAACTAATTAAAAGTTTGAACAATAGTTTGAGTGCTGAAGATTCAATTTTGAATTGAGAATAGACATTAATTTTTCTAGATTCCAGCTATTAACTAGGAGTCGGCCTGCTCTTACTGATGTTGCTAATTATACATGCAACTGTGAAAAATAAATGTATACAAACTCATACAGTTGTTTTTCTTGTATAAATATGTGAATAAGACAAGAACAGGTTTGTTAAACGAGGCAACCCTGATGAGATTGATGCTGCTGTTGTATATTTGGAACTGCACAACGCAGGAGGTATGAAATACTTTAAGTACTGAGATGGAGTACAAGGACAGAACACGCTGCTCATGAGCTAGAAGAAAAGCAGTTCATCAGTAAGACATGGTACTTTTGCAGAATCCTGGAACAGAAGAGCAGAATAAGATATAGCTTTTAAAGGTCTCTTCACAGTTTGCAGCCAGTTCTCATAATGAGTTGCACAGAAAAAATTGGGCAATCAATTTCTTGTGCTAGTTATGACTGCTGTGACTCCTGAGTGCCACTCTTTTAGGCTATCTTTGATTTTCATCTGGCCAGCTTTTCCCAGCAAGATGGGAAAAGAATGTTTTTATCATACTGGAATTGACAGACAGAATACCAAAAAAATTGACAGTCTGGAACATGAAATTCCCTGGAGAGGCTCTGGGAAGTCATTATTGAGGACACAGCCTGAGGGGGACATGAAGAATAGCAAAGCTCCAGGGATCAGTTCAGCTTTCCCCTTAAATTGGGTACATTTTTGTTCAGAAAACCAAGACAAAGCACCATTGTTTTCACAATAGCATTTAAATTGCCATTATTTTTAAAGTCAAGGCATTCACGTTTATACTAATTAAACACTGCCTTTGATGGACGTATATAACGGATAGTAAAAAATATTAAACATTTCTTGATTGCTGTTATTGCTGGCAAAAGTTACTGCAGTAAAACCAATATGCAGTACAGAAGCACTTGTAACTGCTTGGATAAGGAAACACTTTCTATTCCATCAATTACAGGAGATTATATTAAAGCTCATTTATTAAAATTAAATGGTTTTTAAATACATTCATCAAATGTTTATTTAAAAATATTCAAAGAATTAATTGAAAAAACTGTTGGTTTTGACAAGAACTGGAAGATGGGGCCAGTTCCAGAAAACTGGAAATATTTGGCAAATATTGTGCCAAGATATTGAGATCTCAAGATCCATCTCGAGAAGGATGATCTAAGGAATGACAGGGAATTAAATGCTTGGGAAAAAAAGTATTAAAATCTTGACAGGTGATACAACCGATAAAGAATGAAGAGAGAGTAATGTGAGTAGTGTCAACCAAAGTAATCTTATGGAAAAATTATTAATGAGAACATAACCCTGTCTGGAAAAATGTACTTGTGCTCTCCCTGAAGTGCTTCATGGAATGTTTGGGTCTCCCATCAAAATGGCATGGACTGAGGCAAGGCTCTTTCAAGATAACCATGTAAATAACTATAACATCTTGTGGTTAGAGGAAGAAGGATCCGATTGGCGATCATCTCCCACATCTCCCCAGAGTGTGCTAACAAAGGCTAAACAGATATAAGTTCTACTTTCTGTTTCTCGGTCATGTGAGAAGGACTAATTAGGTGCTTCATTTCAGTGGTAGGTCTGGGTCTGTGAATTTCAACCAGCAGTAAGCATTCATGTCCCTGGTTTCATATCTCATGTTTCTCTTTGTAACTCCCTACTGCTTGTCTTGGGCTGCTCTCTGCCCAGCTGTTGTCTCATTACTCACATTTTCCAAGATTCATACTCTTGATCATCCAACTTTGCTCTCTCACCTTGCATCTAACAGGATTTGTAAACTCATGACTGTTAGGCATTGATGCTTGTGGCGCATGTGTCACAGTACTCAACATCCCATTGTCATGGATCTACATCAATCTACTGCCTACAGTTCCATAATCAATGTTAAAAAATGAAAGAGTAGAAAAGAGTTATGAGGAAGATCTAGATATGAAGACCATACCTTGTCAGGGAGAGACTAAAGAAGACCGATCTTGTAAGTTTCTCAAGCCTCTATACACTCTGCTAATAAGTAGTTATTGATAGGAAACATTGATTTTATCTAATTAAAAAAAGAACAACCAAACCCATTTAAAAATCCAGTGATTTAGAAGATGACTGTATGCAAGTTCAGACTTGGAATGAAAGTCCACTTTTCAACAGTGAGTTCACAATTGTGAATGTCAGATCTGTTTATTCTCCATTGTACTCAGCTGAATTTTAAATCAGGGCTGCTCGGATTCCTAGAAGGTATTATAGTTCAGTCAGAAATTGCAATTTGAAAAGGAGATGGTGAATAAGCTTTTATGCCATGTGTTGTGGATGAGTCAGACTAGATTATCATAATACTGCTCTCAGATTTAAAACTACAAATTTAAGCAGTTCATTTGCTGAGAAGGGAAATGTGTAGCAGTACTTAAACCATGGTGGTTCTCAGTTTGAGAACAAAGTGCAAAATCGGCACAAGTTGTGCTCTGTAAGTATCAGATTCTGCCACTCATGTTCATATTAAATGTTGCAGTCTGTTATATAATGCTGTAGGGAATTAGGGAGGGGATAATTGCAGAGTACTATCTTAATCACTCAGTGCTAGTGGTAGCAATATCTACCCTCAAGTGCTCAATACCACATCAACAAAAATTCTGTGGCTCAGTATGTATAAAAGTCTACACAATCTGTACTGAAATCCACCAAGATGCCTATACTGTCAATATTTAGTTATGCTGTTTATACTAGAATGCTTTCCAACGTACAGGGGAAAAAAAAAAAAAAAAAAAAAGAACTCTTGTTTTCCAGTCTACAATTTTGTCTGTTTCGGAACAGATTGTCTTTAGCAATAGGGAGGCAGAGCTGGATTAGCCTGTTGGAAATGTGGTAATTTTCCAGTGTGTGCTAGAAGCAGATTGCTGGGGAGAGTGACAGAAGCTTCCTTGACCTCTTGCAGGCTCAGGTAAACAATTTTGTTGAAAAGCAAAAGCAATAGAACTTCAACTGAATTTTGAAAATGGGGTAAAACCACAAATGATTTCTTATGGTAAGATGCATGCATTCTGCATTCTGCATTCTGCCTGGATTTCTTTTTTTTCAACACCCAAAGCTTCTTGCATATATTTGAATTTGTATATGTATATATGCACTGCATAATTTAACTTGCTACAGCTTTGCTTACTAATCTGTGCCAAAGGAATAATTTTAAGAAATGCAAGATTTTCAATAAAAATATGACTTCTGCTATTTGGAGGAGATCACCAAATCTCTGTAGAGAGAAAATAAAGCCTTGTTCAATACCTATATGAAGCAAACACCTTCCTACCCTGTGCCCCCACCCTTTTGGGAAAGAAAGAAATTCTCAGAGAAGCACACAGCAGTACCTGCACCCACCACATGGTCCATGGTGGGAAACCTCTTGTACACAGCTGTGCTCACGGAGCGAAAGATCAGCAGAGAAGTTAAATTCACATAACGCATTAGAGTCCTCCTGATCAAGCGGCCGTATTCATCTCTTCCCTGGACACAGCTAGAGATCAAGAACATCAGTCGATCTGGCCATGGCAAATTCACAAACTGGTTCCACCAGCGATTCACCACCAGCGTGACATAGAAACCTGTGTGTGAGAAGGAAAAATGTTCAGTGCCTTTCAGTGCTTCGGTTTAGCTTTGATTTAGATTGTAGAGTGTCATTCACATCACTAAGCTGCTCCTTGTACCAGAATAAATGTAGTAAGTCAAGTCGAAAACAGTATGCAATCAAAACTTACTATTTAGTAGACACTGCAACTTCATGACCTGTTACAGCTGAGTACCTCATACAGTGTTAACACAAACTTCCAGATTTTCTCTTTTGTAGTAAATGTTGAATGTATTTAGTGTTTTGAAAGGTCAGGCACCATGTATCAGTGTTAGTGGGCACTGTATATATTTATACATATATATATATATGCATGAAAATACTTTTTGTTGGGATATTAAGAACCGAGTATAAATGTTGATGTGACAAAAGCAACTTGACTTTAAGGAGACCTTCCTTAAACTCCCTCATCTCTTCAATGCTTCCATGCATCAGCATTAACAAGATGCCTGAACAGAGACAGTGTTGGAGAGTAATTTCACATGTAACCAGTACTTACCAAGCACAAAAGTTACTGGGATTTGTTCAGCGTATTTGTCACAGTAAATTGATAATTTTTCAAAGAACCGCTTTTGGCTTCCTGTAAGAAAAAATCTGCAGCAAAAATAAAATGTATATGTCCTTTTGTAGTATTCTGGCTCTAGCTAGAGTGCAAATACATACAAGAGAGCAAGCTTGGCTAATGTCTCCAGGCAGATTCTTAAAGTGCTGAACACTTGTAGCATGTAATAAAGAAACTGGAGAAGATGATAGTATTCTCTTGCCTTTGTAGTTTCCTAATTCGACTAGCACTACTAATTAGAATCAGTGCACATTGAGAACTAGCATGCTATCCCATCAAGGCCAATGATGACAGTAAGAGGTGAGTCAGCAAGCAGAGCTTGCTCTCCTGTTTTCCAGAGAGCTGCTTGACAAAAATGCTCAGGTTTGCTTGAATTGCAAAAGGTTACCAATCTCTATTGGCTGTTATTTGAAAATGCCACATATAGTTGCAGCAGTTTTTGCTCTTTCTCCCACAGAATTTTGCTTATCCACCAAACGAAAAATGCAACAGTGCCTATCTAATAGTGGGGAAAAGATTCACCACATAGTAGAAAATGAGTGGAGCCCAGCAGCTTCTTCCCATGGCGAGAGTTATCTAATGAAATACAAAAATATGAGCCATTATTTTATTTGGATATATGAGTATTACAGCTACTCTTTGGTTTCACGTGGCAAATATTTAGTGGATTTTCTTACGGTCTAGTTGTAAAGTCTAAAGTGCATATGAAATGCTTTCCATTCCACATTTACTATGGTTTTTAATTGCTAACTTTTGGGTGAAACTAGTTAATAAATTTCAGACTTTGGTGGTGTTTTTTTGATGTATTAATACTCTAATTTTCTTTCTGAATGCACAGGGATAGACCACTGAACCTGTTGCCAAGTTGTTGATTAAACATAGACAAACAGATGCTTATTTTCTTTGCTATCCATAAAAAGAAAACGTTGCGATTTAATTACAGATCAAGGTAAGAGCTGAATCATGATTTTGATACTAATGTTAGTGCACTTCATCAATTAAAGGCTCACTGCACTAAATGATGCATTGCTGCTGCTTAACTCACACCTCGGTAGAACAAGGAGCTGTTCCTCTCGTGCTGTGCTGCATACAGGCAATAACCACAGCCGTGTTCCATGCAGTCTTGCAAGATTAGGTCCTTAAAAGTAAAGCTTGGCATTCTCTTCTAGCTTGAAGGAAAACCTCACAGTTCCTGAGAAAAGACTAAATATAACCTCTGCCTCAAATTAATCCTTTTTGTGTTGTCAGTGAAATTACCTCTGAGTAGCTGTCGAACTACAGCAAGCAGAATGAAAGGCCTGTTTGTATCAGTCGCATCAGAGAGGCATGCTTGTTGTCAGAACAATAATGGCCAGGTAGAAATCGTGAGCTAGCTGTGGGCATTTGTTTGTCTGAACTAATTCAGGTTAACTTATTTAGCTTAACTTCAGAAGAATTGTTCAACCCAGGCAAAAGACTGAGCTCATTCAAATCATAGAATCATAGTCACCGAATTACCAAGGTTGGAAAAGACCTCCATGATCATCCAGTTCTAACCATCAACCTATCACCAGTATTTCCCCACTAAACCATGTTCCTCAGTACAACATCTACACGTTTCAAATATGATAGACTGTATTTTATTTACACTCCACATGCTTCTATGGAACTTTAAAGTAAATGTGGAAATGAGAGGATATTAGAAATGTCCAAGGAAAAGCCAACTTTGTAGTACCCCCCACCCCAAAGTCACTTATCAGCCTAATGCTATGAAGTGTGAAACTTCAGTACAACATTTAATGAGATGTGAATTGGAAAGAGTGTACCTGTATAATACACTTATCGCTGTGTAAAGGGTAGCAAAAACAATAAATTCTCTGTACAGCAATTTGTAGATGCTGCCTTTCCACTTTAGGAGTAATCTGTGAAATCCAAAGAAAGTGGCATTTGCTACTTTGCTGGAATAAGTGACTGTCATCGTCTTGGCAGGCTGAGCCTAGAAACAGTAGAAGAGAAGCAGGAAACCAACAACATTTTAGACAGCATATCCTAACCTGAATGCAGCCATGTATAGATAGCTAGATACACAGATACACACACACGTACACACACATAATGCTAGATGTATACAGATATACATGCTGTGTTTCTATATATAAAGAGAAGTGTGGAGGTGTTGTGGTTTTGTGCCTCGCTGAGACCTGCAGGTCGATGGATGGGGATGGCCCCAGCCACCAGCCAAAGGTACGGCCAGTGCCAAGCCTTGGGTAGCAGCAGCAGTGCCAGAAAGGATGCATCACACCTCCAAAGTCTTTATGTACTCCCAATTTGCTCCTGTCTGGTGCAGGCAAAGAAAAGAAAGTAAATCTGCTTGAAAAATATCCAGTGCTCCAGCAACAGAGGCAAAGCTAAAATTCGTAGATGCCCCTTCCTCCCCAGCCAGTATTTTTAGCTAGCTTTAGTAATTATGGTCATCGAGAAGCAAATGAGATCTGGAGGCAGCCTCTTTCATTAATAGTTACGACAGCACTGAGGGTGGCTGGGGAGCCCTGTTATTTGGCTCCTTGGCAGGAAGGCACGCTCACCACTCCGCTTCGGCATTGCACAGCCATGCAAAGGGCCACGAGGTTGCTCAGGTCCACAGTGCGCAATGCAGCCTAATTAAAGAAGTGCCAAAAACATACAGGTAAATATTATGCTCTGGTGTTCATTCTTGCTTACTGAGCGTAGGGATGCCACAGCAGCTTTTATGTGCTTACAGAAAACTCTAAATATGGATGACAGCAGTTTTGTACAGCACTAAAGAAAGGGAGCAAACAAGACAAGCGCAAAGCCTCAAGGTAGTTATCATGTAGACACTCGCCTAAATGTGGTTCTTGGCTGTATTTTCTTGGTGCCACTGTAGGTCATTAACTCTCAGAACAAAATATGAACCCACGGTTAATTGATGGCTAGATAGTATTTAACGCAGTTTGGCTACATCTCCTCTGCAGAGCATAAAAACCATTAAAATTCAGCTGTAAAAGTGCCACTTCTACTTATCAGGGAAATCAGCAGAGAAAAGACACCATAAGCCTCCTATTACTGACAGACTGTCTGTTCCCATGTGCCGAATGTCTGCTTGAGTTTGCCAGCTTGGGCTCTGAGATTTTTGTTTTTTCAGTGGTTTTTGTTTTTTGCTTTTTTTTTTTTTTTTTGAGTTGCATAGCTTTTATTCCCTAGCATCCAAATGATAGCTTTTCTGCTTCTAGGACTTGGCACATCCTTTTCAATTTCATTGTTGTTGTCATTGAACTCCAGAAAGTTCATCTTGGGAGCCAAGCTGACTGCCTGGCAAGCAGCAAGCAGCCCTTCTGCTGGGAAGCCTGTGGTCAGGATGCAACATTTAAGAAAATGGAAGTAAAGATCTCCATTCTTGAGCAGAAACGGGGCTTCATAGGCATGGAAAGAAGTCTGTGGCTAAGCTACAGGGTGGGAATAGGGCATTGTCAGTGCACATTGAGTGTCCTGAGATAGCTATAGGAGAATTCTGCCCTTGCCTGTGAATGACAAACGATGTGTTCAAACAATAGAGCAAGGCAACCTTCTCTCCACTGATATACAGCTCATAATGGAACTGTATAGAGGCACAGATATTGACAAGATATCTGATAATGTGATGACTTATACTGGGCTGGTACTCTTTCAGGGTGCAGGGAACAGAAAGAGAAATCAGACAAATGCAGTCTGAAGTAAAACATAAATTCTTGACTGGGGAGGCAATCAAACATTGGAACTGGTTTTCTCTGGTGTCGAGATCTCCAGGACATTTTCTGTTTATTTTCCTTTGTCATGGACCATGAAGGGAAAAGGACTGCAGCTGTGCAGGAAGACAGTGATTCACATCAAACCCACAGCTGTTTCTGCCCAGAGTTCAGAAACCATCATCACTGCCACTCCCTCGAACTGGGCACAGGACTGTGTTTCTTCCCCCACTTCCCTCCCCATCACTGAGATTTGTGTATGTAGTGTGTCCCCCTTGGCTTTCTTCTGAAGCATCAAAGACTGCATGGTGCCAAAAATTGGCACTAATTAGCTGGACAAATTGGGTTCACCTCTGCAGCAATTTCTACCTGGAAATGCCTAGGGGGTGGATTTTGGCTACAGCTGCAGAGCTGTAATGGTAACAGGATTCCAGATTAAATATTTTCCACTACATTAAACTGGGAGAGGTGATTTTTCTGCAATGTGTCTGCTTAATTCCAGAGGCTACATTTCACTTAATCAGATTCCTGCCACCTCTCTTAGCACTTTGTTTGAAGCCCCTGGATGTGAGCAGAAAATTTTCACATGAGTTTAGGAGGTGCTGGAAACCAGCAAATTTTTATTTCTGCCTCTGGAATGGGGCAAATAAGTGGGACTCCTACAGAAGTTTCAGGCTGCGGTGCCCCTGCTTTCTTTCCTTTCCTGACCTGAGACACTCTGCATTTTAAGCTCTTGCTAAGCAAATGCTTTACTGAACATTCCTCATTGGGTTCGTACAGGGGATTCAGGGTGAAATGTAATGTCCTAAAATATACATTAGGTCATGTTAGGTGATTGAAGATCGCTTTGGACTATAGGAAGCCATGACAGACAGCAACATACCTGTCTGGTTAGATCTCGCAATATCTTAAACATAGATTTAATTCTACACTTGTGTTTTTCCTCCACGAACAACTACCTTCACCGGGGTACAACACACCCACATTTACGTGTCAAGTTCTCGTGTGAATCTTGGCACTATGGCTGACTCCTGCCCGGTGGTCCCAACTTATGGGGCATGGGCAGCATTTGTCTGAGAGTTCTTCCAGCATTACTCATGATAACAGGAAATTAAAAAGCTAAAGCTGAGGCTGGCAGGAAGAGCAAACGATCCCAATGCCTCCAGCACATTCCTGCCTATCTTGGCTGGGGCACAGAGGGACAGAGCTCTGGATCAGACACCACAGTAACTGCTGCTGTGGACTTGCCTATCAATGGCATTGCCCTGCCTTCATCAGCAGATACAGGGCTAGGCTTTTTGTTGGTTTGGATTTGAGGGTTTTGATGACATGACACAAGTTATACACCTTTTGTGCCAGCAAATGCATTGGCTCGCATCTGTGACATTACTTTCCCTTTGGCTCAAGAAACTTTCTCCAGCCTGAACTAAAATGTGAGTTATAAAGCATTTCACTTTTGCTAAGATCATCAGAAGCCCTTAGACATAAGTGCCTAAAAATAAGAGATTTTTTTCCCCTACTGATACTGAGACCAAATGTAAATGGCTTTTTGCCTGGCTGAGAATTTCAGGATGCATTAGTGTTCAGAGAGAAACCACAGTAAAAAATAACAGCAATCAGTGTTCCCTAACTGACCATTAAAGAGACATTACAGCACATATAAATAAATAGTGCCTCTGCACAGACCTACCCCTTGTCATTGAGTTATCTGATATACGAGTGTATGCTGTATTAGAGAAAACAAGCAAGAGAGATTCGCGCTAACCAAATACAAAAGCACGCCAAGCACGCTCTGTGCCCACTGACCTGCTGCGTGGATCTGGCAGTCCAGGCACGAAGGCAAATCCCAGACCCTTCCTCCTGTTCTGATGTCCCACACGGAGATCCCCTTGGGCTGCTGTTGTCCCGTGCTCTTCTCTTAACCTGGAGCAGGGGATTGCTTCCACTCAGTCCCGGGAAGAGAGGACTGACAAGCACAGGGGTTAAAATGACTTTCCACTTCTGGAAGGCTGTTTTTGCCAAGTCCTCTGCCCTGTCAGTTACACAGGGAACAAACGCAAGCAGCAGCGGCAGCGGCAGCTGCTGATCTTGCTCTTTTCTAGTCTATAATTATAACGCCGGTTGCCGTCGGAAGGACCCCTTTCATTTGGATGCAGAGTCTCGCCATGGCTTGGCTGGCACCTCCTGTTTTCTATGTTTTACTTCCTGTCCCAAAGTGGGACAGACAAGGAACATTTTCCACCGTGACCTTTAAAGATTTGCCTCCTTGCACCTAGCGCTGCAGAGACACATTAGGGAATGGCACGGACTGCACCTAAATAGGAAGACTGGACAACCTGGGCAAATTGGGACAAACTGGGGGGGGATGTACCATGGCTGACCCTGGATCCCCCCCTGGGGCGCACTGCTGTTCTCTTGCTGTCCTGCTGCCTGGAATTGGGAAATCAGAACTGCAGGGCACAGTGCAGAAATCACCCATTCCTCAAAACAGGTGTAGTTGCTGTTATAGGAAGTCATACTGGGCTCAGTGAACCTGTTCATAGCAGCCTTTGTGTGGCTGGAGGGAACTTCTTCCCCCCTTCCTCTCTGCAAAATGAGATGAACTCCCTCTTTAATGACTCCTGGCATTAAGAGGCAGCTGTAAAAGGTGACAGACTGAAAGCCTGGGAGATGTCATAAAATGTTGACATAAATCTCTATGGAGAATGGAATAATGTGACTATGAAATAAATAAAAAAAGTCACAGGGGGACAGAGTAAGCAAGATTTATAGACTTAATACATTTTATGATAAAAGATCTTTCCCCTTGCCTCAGCCCCATTATAAGGCACAAGAACTCTCCAAGAGCACTTATTTAATTAAAACTCTCTCTGAAAGCAAATGAGTTGCTGTCATTGTTTGCCTTTCTTCTCATTGGCAGTTGCAGGAGGAAGACACTTTGATGTCAAAGTGGGTGAGACATGAGACTGGGGCATGTGTGTTTCAGGCAGTGTCCTGCAGTGAAAGATGACAAATCATTTTAGCATTTGGTGACTTGGCATAAGGAAACATGCTGCCCGATCCTATTACAGCGACTGCCCTCTGCCAGAAAACTCTTAACGACGGGGATCTTCTAAGGTTGCTATTAAGATAATTACTCAGACTTAAAACATGGTTGTGGGTTTTTTTTGTGTGTGTTTGTTTTTTTGCTGACCATAAAATTTTGGTAGCCTCTGCCCCTTTTATTTGTGTGTACACACCTCGAGTGCTGTGTTCAGTTTTAGGACTCTCACTACAATAAAGACATTGAGGCCTTGGAGTGTGTCCAGAGAAGATCAGTGAAGCTGGTGAGGAGTCTGGAACACAAGTCT